ACCGTTCGTCTATCATCTTCGCCCTCGGCACCCGACGCTCGGTCATCTCATGGCAACACCATGCTCGTTCTCTAAGATCTTCGTGGAGCGCCTCTCCAACTCACTGACTGTGCCTTGTAGACGCCTGGCATGCTCAGCACTTGGCTTCCCCCGCCCCATTGCAGACTACACTGTCACCACGCCAGCATGGACGCTCCGCACTGCACGTCCCATCAAGACTTGTAAGCCCCCTTTTACCCTGTGTGATTAAAGCAACCTGAAAGACAAATCTGAGTCCTGTCCTCCTTCTGTGGGCTTGAGCACCGACTGGCTGTATCTACTTGGGCAGCTGGTAAGAGTGAATCGAGTCTATTTAAGGTTGTGCTTCCTTGGCACTAATTAATCCCTTCATTGTTTTGCCTCATGACAAAAGATAAGGTTTCATTTCAATATGTAAGATGATTTTTGGGATGGCAACTGCTAGGTGTGAACTCAAAGAGCCCAGGCTGAAGGGCTCCAGAAACCTGAAGAGAAATTTGATTATCTAAGGCCTCACCAATCAAGAATGCCCACAAGATGATCATGTCCTCTATGAGCCAATCACTGAACTGATCATGTGCCTGGGACCTCTGTCCCTCATTTTACCCTTAAAAACACATGTAGGGACTATCTCAGGGAGACCGGGCCTTTTCAGCATGAGCTGTCCACTCTCTTTGCATTGCGCTTTGCAATAACGCTATACTTTCCTTCATCACACCATGTGCCTATGGTTTGGTTTTATACTGTTTGGGCGAGTGAACCTGATTTGAGTTCGGTGACACTTTCATACATTTAGTTTTCCTAACTATCCATTCAAAGGGGAGCAAAACACTACACCTTGCTCAGAGAGCAAACCACTGCCCCTCGCTCAGAGGGAAGCAAACTAGCACCCCTCACTCGAGGGAAGCAAACCTCCGCCACTCCTCCTCCGAGGGGAGCGAACCTGGGTTACCCAAAACAGACAAACAAAAGACAGACAAAAAAGTAAAACCAGCTTCGAAAGAAAGAAGACCGTCTACCAAATTTTGGGAGGTCTGGGGCCAGAGGACTTACCAAGTCTCCCCTGACGAGAGGCTCAGAGCTGGAGAAGGCACAAAGGGTACACTGCTGGTACCAGGCACTGGGTTTGAAGTGACCTCTTGGAAGATCTCTAGTTCATTCCTGGTCCCTTTGTGGTCACCATCTTGCCGACAGAAAATAATCAACTCTAAAAAATTAATGATTAATGTGTTTTAGGGACCAACAGTTAGCGTAATGGCTATGTAGTTGACTGCGGTTCAGATCCTGGACCTGGTGACTTAAACTCATGCCAGGTGTATATGCGTGCGTGCCCAAGATCCCAAGAGGAGAATGGAAGAGAAGGGATTGTGGCATGGCCATCCTCCCTGGGGGGGGATTTCTCTCTTTCTGTCTCTCTGGTGAGCACAAGTGCCCTATAGCAAAAACCTCTCAAAATAAATAAATAATGTGTTTAATTTCCAAGCAGAACATGAGTGACCTAGTAGCTTGCTTTTCTCACTTTCTGTCTCTCACTCTCTGTGTGTCTCTCTGGTGAGTATACATGCCCTATAGCAAATTTTAAAATAATAATAATTATAATCAAATTTTAAAAAGAAATTCACATTCAGAGTTAAGAATTATCACCTCAGGATCACCAGATGGCATGGTAGTTAAGGTGCTGGACTCCCACATGGGCAACCACAGTTCGAGTCCTGGACCTGACAGCTTGCTTTCTTACTTTTCTTCTCTCTCACTTTCTCTATCTCTCTCTCACTGGTGAGCACACGTGTCCTATAGCAAAATTTAAAAATAATAATAATAAATAAAATTAAGTAGATAATTCCAAAGAAAAAAGACAGAACTATGTCTTTCAATAGGTCTCAACTCTATGTATTTAATTAGTTATTATTGCCTGTAATTTTCCCTTTTTCCCCAACACCCACTGGACATTTCACTCAGAATATTTCAAAGTTCTTTAAAGTTTAACATGTTCAAATCAACCCCTTGTTAGTCAGTAAAACCACTTTTATCCCATTGATGCAGGCTGGGAGTTTGCAGTTATGAGTACTTTAACTTTTCCTTAATTTCATTTTTTCCTTCTTCATTTCATCAGATATGTATACTAAGCCCTGAGACCACAGGTTTCTAAACCTGGTTCTGTCACCCCCTGGGTGGGGTCCTGGTTCAGGGCCCTGATTACCCACCTATAAAAAAATAATAGTACCTACCTCATACGAGGGTTAAGTGAGTGAGGAAATGTAAAGCTCCTGGTGTACACTGAGGGCCACATACTTGTTAGCTGTTTTCACTATTTCTCTTTAGGAACTTGAACTCTGAGGAGAACCTCTTAGAATCTTATTTCATACAATTTGTTTAATCTCTCTTATCCTCACTTTCTTTACAAAGTGTGACTTATAATAATATCTTTCAAATAAAAATTAAATTAAAAGATATAAGTAAACCCATAAAGTAATTTCTCAAAAAACTTTGGCTATTACTAGTGATAGGATGATCAATGAAAATAATATGGAAAATTACCATAGATTCTTCATTCTTTCTTTCTTTCTTTCTTTTTTTTAGGTTTTGCTATAGGAAGCGTGCACTCACCAGATAGACAGAAAGTGAGAAATCACCCCCCTCTCCCCCCAGGGGAACTGGTCACACTGCAATCTCCTCTCCTCCATTCCACTTGGGATTTGGGGCACACACACCCACAAGTTTCAAGCCACCTGGGACTTGAACCACAGTTGGTCATGTGGAATTCTGGCATCTTAACCACCACACCACCTGCTGGCCCCAGATTCTTGGTTTTGTTTTATTTTTCCCTTTCCAACTATTTAATAAAACTCATATGCAGGTAAAAAAAACTTCATTAACAAATCAGAATATCTGATTCAACGAGCTGTCAGGTTATTATTTTTTTTAATATTACATGTTCAAGCATCAGATGAGATTATTTTAAAGAATTATTTATTTAATTTTATTCACGATTATTAATTTGACCAGAGTGAGTGAGAGGGAGAGGGAAAGTGAGAAAGCAAGCTGCCAAGTCCAGGACTCAAACCACAGTCAGCCATGTGAAAGTCTAGCACTCCAACCACCAAGCCACCTGCCAGCCCCTGTTATCAGGTTAATTAAAAACAAGGTTCAGATGCAAAAAACAATGTTCAGATGCAAAATAGGACTTTTTATTTGTCACTATTAAAAGTCTGAACATTAGGGACAAGCAGATAGCGTAATGACTATGTCATTGGACTCCCATGTAATCGAGCGGTTTGAGACCTGAACCCAGTGGCTTAAACGCACACCGGGTGCGTGTGTGTGTGGATGTGTGTGCGTGCATGCGTGTGTGCATGCCAAAGATCCCGAGAGGAGAATGGAGGAGAAGGGATTGCAGCATGGCCATTCCCACGGAGGGGGGTTTCTTGCTTTCTGTCTCTCTCTGTCTTTCTGGCCTTAACCTCCACGCTACCTGCTGGCCCTGAAGTATCTTTTTATTGTGGACAAAAATTGATTACTTTGCATTGATGCTTTATAGATGACCTGAAGTGACAATGCATGATAAAAAGTAGAGCTAGTGAATTAGCCCACTTGTAAATATCTTCGTTATGATTGCTAGAGAAGATGAATCTTGGATATGGAGTTGTTAAACCACTTCTGAGCAAGTGTGTATCAGAACTTGTTCCCTGGGTGGGTACCAGAAGGGCAGAGGGACACGTAAAGGGAGAGATGAGTGCACGTGGATTCCTGTTCACATTTTGACGACAGTCATTGTCAGGTGCATCTCTTCTGGCTGTACCAAAGGGGTATACTGAGTGATTAACTGGAAATATCTTGCTCCTGTTTTTTTAAAGTTTCAAACATACTTTATTTCTTCAATAATGCCATAACTTAATAGGGTAGCTTGTGCTTTTACTTGGCATCAGTTATGAGTTGGTTTCGAAACAACTCAGTATTACACCAGCTGATTACTACTCTCTCCTTTCCTTTTGGGTGACTCTGCCAGCAGGGGACAGGTTCCAACCTATTCCAATGCTGCTGCTGTGTATGTTATATTGTTTTTCAGGACTTTTTGCAAGAGTGTCTGCCTGGAATTTGCAACAAACTTACAGCTGCAATGACCTCAGTTCTATTTTCAGCTTCATGATATCTCCCTTAGCCAAAAACTGCTCTAAGTCCTCTCCAAGTTTGAAGCATTCAGCAAACAATGGCAAGCCTGAGCCACCAGAAACAGACCCTGGATTGTCACGACAAATACAGTCCCTCTGTATCAGCCACTGGAGCCACTTTCTGTGCTGCCATATGGACATCTTGCTCATATTTTAATAGCACAGGACTGACAATGAATTCACTTACAAACATTATACTTAGAGTATCCTGTTGCTTTAAGTACTATTTTTAATTGAGCATTAAGGGAATGCAATATTTTAAGCATAATTGCCAATACTTTTATCTAGAAGCCTGTTGCCATTTTTTGTCTGCTGTAAAATGTTTGTCCCCAAGTAGGACCGGATTACATTTTTTCCTAACAGGCTTCTAGATAAAAATATTGGCAATTATGCTTAAAATATTGAATTGGTATAGCGTATTCTTGGTTATTAAAATAGACCTTTGGGACTTTGAATGGTAAATATTCATGATGTGCAAAAACACAGGATACACTCTGAACGATCTGGAGCATGTAAAATTGGACATTGTACGTATGTGCACAGAACCTAGGAGGAGGACAGACCTAGCTGTCAACTGCCAGGGATGGTGGATGACTCTGTTCTTTCCTTCTTGTATTTTTCAGTTTCCTATAATGCAGATATGATTTAAAAAAATAAAAGGTTAATCTTTAAAACTGCAAATAAAATTGATGTTAGGGTAATGTTTAACCTATTAAAAATAAAATGTTATCTGAAATTGACGTATCACAAAGTCAGAGTTTTGAATGCTGATTAAGTACTCTTCTTTCAGATTTGACTTGCTCTGAGAATAAACTAATGGGTGTGGTTTAAAGACCCAGACCAAGTGTGGGATAGGGCATTACTTAAGCAAACCAAATATCTGTGCTTTCCTACTCCGCAGGAAAGAGGTCCACAGTCTCCTGGTCTACAGAAGAAACAACATGAGCACAGCAGGAAAAGTAAGCAAAAACGTTACTGTCGGGAATAGTCTCGTTAATATATACTAGCTAAGAGGAGAGTATTTCCTGGATAATGTAAAATGTATATCTAAATTAGAAATTATGTATGCTAAAATCCAGTATGCCATGTATGTTTCAATAGCTGATGCATACTGAACTACCAGGGCAAGGAGCTATTCCTGAGTAACTTGAACAAGAGCATAGCCTCTGTCTTTGTTAAAGTCTTTATTCCTCACATTAGACAAATTTGAAGTAAAGTTATATTTTATCCCACACTAGTCATAAATAATTTGTAAATTTAAAATTGGAAAAATTGTTAATCAAGGAACAATATATAAGAAATCTAATATAAGTGTGTTATTCTTTGTAATCATATTCTTTTATGAACAGAGAAAAATTAAGTGTGACATTAGTTTTATGGGAGGAATCTGAAGCGTGCATCTCAGACAGCACAGGCCATGCCACAGGCACCTGCTGACCAGAATATACCTGCTGTTAAAGTATTATTTCCAAGTACTCTAATACTGACCTTGGCATTGACCATGGTGAATACCCAGTGGAGTGGAAGGATTTGATAAGGAAATAATAAAGCCAAATTGTTGAAAAGATAAATTTCATGGGCAGGTCCAGTAGCACGGCAGCTGACGCTATAGATAGGGAGCCAGATCCCACATAGCCCCAGTGGCTTAAGAAACAGGCCAAGTGTGGGTGCAGGTGTGCCCAAAATACAGGCTGGAGGAATGAAGGAAAAGGACTGCAGTGTGACCAGACCCCATGGGGGGGGGGTGCTTTCTCTCTTTTCTCTCACTCTCTCTCTGGCAAGTGCACACACCCTCTAGAATAAAAAAGATAATTTTGTAAATATAAGAAATTTCAATATTTTTTGATCTCCCATGGAATTATGTCAAGTCTCCCTAGAAGAAGCCTTCTAACTGTAAATACTTTATAACAGTGAAGATAGGTTTTATGGTACATTCCCAAGCATGGAAAATATGTGTTCAACTTTTCTTTTTAAGAACATTTATGGGTAAGCTGTGCTAGCTATAAATTCAAACACACATTTCTCCAATTTTGAAATATGTGTGGGTGTGCACACACCACTAGCTTTAACCCCTACGATTTTTAGCACTAAAATCTGTAATCTGGAAGGAGTCTCTGCACATAAATTAGGCAACACACAAGCTCAGTTCCAGACAAGTGCTGCCAGCCTGGTGCATACAGAGTGGTGTAGCGGGAAACTGAAGGAGGAAAACAGGAGAAGGAAGTCACCCTGCAGGAAGATGCATGTGTGACTGTCACCGAAAGTCAGATCCTCTGGCTGAAGCAGGAGACGGAGCAAGGGAGCAACAGACTTCATATGAACATTTCCTGACTCAGCGAAAGAACAGTGACTCGGAACTTGATGTACAAGCCAACAGCTGTGGATAAACAGCCTGCTTCAGGACAGATTAGGAAATACCAGGAGTAAACTCCTTTGGAGGAAATAAAGCAACATAAGGACATTCCATTTTATCTCAGTGTCTTATGTACAATACAACGTAAAAGTATATATTATACTTATTTCTGTTTCTCTTATGCTATTGCTTTACACTTTTTTTTAAGGTTTTTGCCATAGGATGCATGTGCTAGCTGAGGGGAGACAGAGAGGGCAAGTGAGAAATCACTCCCTGGGGAAGAATGGCCACACGACAATCCCTTCTCCACTATTTTCTCAGGATTCTGGGCACACATGCACATGTGCCCAGTGTGATTTTCAAGACATCAGGTCCAGGGACTTGAACTGTGGTCAGCCATGTGGGATCCCAGTGCCTTAACCACCAAGCCACCTGCTGGCCCCAACCTTACACATTTTCTATTTTATAAGCCAGAGATGTTCATTTCTATGGAGCAACAGTAAAGATAGGTTTTATAGTACATTCACAAGCACTGAAAATATATGATCAAATCTTTTTTTTAAGAATATTGATGGGTAAGCTGTGCTAGCTTGTTAGGTGGCAGGCATGGGGCCAGATGCTGCATGTACAGAGATGAAAAGACACAATGCCTGACTTCAAGAGTAAGAAGAAACTGCTCTCTTTCTGTTTCATTTCCCAGGTAATAAAATGCAAAGCAGCTGTGCTATGGGAGGTAAAGAAACCATTTTCCATCGAGGAGGTGGAAGTCGCACCCCCCAAGGCCCATGAAGTTCGTATTAAGGTGAAACACTTTTTTCTATTTCTATGTAATTCTAGGTTTTAAAAATTCAGGAAATATTAAAAATGGAAGGAACAAAATATTCACTAAAAGGCACTTTTTATATGGTCAGCCATACAGTGGAATTACATTTGCTGTCAAGGACAATTATAAACTTAAAATTTTCAAAAGTGACCAAAGAATATATACAGTATAATTTTAATCCTTTTTAAAATAATTATTTATTTAATTTTATTTATTCATTCATTTATCTTAATTTGACCAGAGAAAGACAGACACACAGAGATAAGGGAAGTGAGAAAGCAAGCCACTAGGTCCTAGACTCGAACCATGGTCAGCCGTGTGGGAATGTCCAGCACCTTAACCACCACACCACCTGCTGGCCCCATATAATCCTAGTTTTAAAAAAAAGGAATTACCTGTTGCTACAGAAAAAAAGTTCAAAGGAATATATAGCAAAACTTCAAAATCAGTTAACATTAAATATTTCCTTGGTGTTAATCTACGATTTCTACTTCTATTGTAAAAAGCATGCCTTTTTGTATATTACATAAGACACATATTTCAGGATCAATTATTTCACAGATTAGTCTACATTGCTTAATTCAGGAAAGGAAGCTGGAAGAGGGTTTAAAACTAGGTAATCTAGGGAATAAACTGAAACTTTGATATTTTTTACCAGAAATCTTGAGATCTCTTTATAGAAGCACAATTTCAGGAAATTTGGTGTGCCAGTCCATCTGAGGGTTCTAATCTTTTCTGAATCTGATCATCTTCATCCTCTCTTCTCTGTAGATGGTGGCCACAGGCATCTGTCGCTCAGATGATCATGTAGTTAGCGGAAACCTTGCCGTACCTTTCCCTGTGATCCTAGGCCACGAGGCTGCCGGCATTGTGGAAAGCATTGGAGAAGGGGTAACTTCAGTAAAACCAGGTACAGAATTGACACTCGGGGAATGGGCCTTAGGTCAGCATCCCAGGATCATCCAGCCCAGATGGGGAAACTGAGGCAATGAGAGATGAAAGTGTTCTGCACAAGGTTACCCCTGGGCTGGGGTTGGAGGGGTTTCCTCCTTCTACTTCTCCCGGCCTGATCCAGGCATGGAGGCCTTCAAGCAGTTACTCTCTTGAGTGCCTGCTAGATGCCAAGTACCAGGTTAGAGCCTCTATATAGGCTTTAAGTCCTTGCTTTATTAATTCCTGGATAGAAATTTTAAAGGAATTTGTTTTATCTCCCTCCAGGCGATAAAGTCATTCCACTCTTCACTCCCCAGTGTGGAAAATGCAGAATCTGTAAGCACCCAGAGAGCAACTACTGCTTGAAAAATGAGTAGGTTGCTCCTGTTCTCCTTGCACAGCCAGTGGGTTTGCACATTAGTCACGCTTCTGTCTCATGCTCTTGCATGTCTGTGTGTTCACTGACCAGTCTGGACAAACCCCGGGGAACCCTGCAGGATGGCACCACCAGGTTCACCTGTCGAGGGAAGTCCATCCACCACTTCCTCAGCACCAGCACCTTCTCCCAGTACACAGTGGTGGATGAGATCTCAGTGGTCAAAATCGATGATGCCTCACCACTGGAGAAAGTCTGCCTCATCGGCTGTGGATTTTCGACTGGCTATGGGTCTGCCGTCAAAGTCGCCAAGGTAGGGCTGGCGGTGGGCCATAAGACCAGTTACACTCAGACCGCCGGGAACTAAAAGGGAAGTGATTTCTCACAGCAATCAGAGATGATTTTTCATGGATTTCATTCATTATTAAAGTACAGATTTGGGGTGTCAGGAGTAGACAAATGGTCCCAGAAGGAATTGAGAGCATGTCCTAGAAAATCTCCATTTATCACAGATGGAAGGCTGTTCATATTTGGTTAAGAAAAAGTAAAGATTCCATGTTCAGTAATCACTTGTTCCTTATGGGATTATTAAATTTTAGGGCTGGGCACTCATTCAGTCATTCATTGTATAATTAGAATTTATCCAGTCCAGGAGGCTCTGCTAGGTTCTGAGGCAGCAAAAGTAAATGAAATCAAGTATTTGCCTTTGAGGATTGTCCGGTCCATGAACCCTTCTACTCCCAGAACTAGGGCCAACATCTGATTCCACAGGCTTTCCTAATATATCTCCAAAGCAAGGGTCACCTACTCTGGATCCCTAAGGGGAAAGTTAGGAAGCTTCAGTGATGCATCTACTCCCTCAACATGAGATTTCATCGTTGTATCTTCTCTGTTTCCTTTCACCAAACTGAGGTCTGGAGACATAAAACTATTGACCCAAAATCTCACCACTGCTTATTGTGAGAGCTGAGACTAGAATATCTCTCTGAACTCTTCTGCTGAATCCTAAAACAGGATACACAATTACTAGCACTTTTAACTGACAGTCACAAGCCCTGTGATTTTCTTTTTCTTTTCTTTTTTTAAGAGAGATTTTTGAGTAGGGTGCGTAAAATCGCCAGAGACAGAAAGCGAGAAATACAACCCCACCACCACCACCATGGGGCAGGGTTGCGGGGAGATGGCCACTCTATAATCCCTTTTCCTCCATTCTCCTCTTGGGATTTTGGGCACACACGTGCATGTGTTTCAAGCTGCCAAGTCCAGGACTCGAACCACAGTCTACTATATGGGAGTCCAGAGACATAACCATTACATCATCTGCTGGTCCCAGTCTTGTGATTTTCTAAGTAAGGTAGAAAGTAGTGTTGTATTCCATAGTATTTAATAACATTTGGCGAATAAATGAATGAATAGATAACTTTTCTTTAATTATTTTATTTTATTTTTTTTTTACATTTTGTTTTTTAAATTCGCTAGAGGAACGACACACTTACTGGAGAAAGGCAGAGAGAGAATGAAAGTGAGAGAGCATCCCCTTCCCTCACGGGGCATGACCATGCCACCATCTCTTCTCTTCCAGCTCTTCTTCCTTTCAGGATTTTGGGTATGCACACACATGTGCCCAGATAGTTTTTCAAGCTGCTGGATCCAACACTGTAACCATGTGGTTGGCAACATAGAATCTAGCTACCTCAACCACTAGATCATGGGCCAGCCCATGAAGAGACACTTTTAAGAGAATATAACAATTAATTACTTGGGATGGGGGAACATTTCACCACACTGAAGGCTGACTATAAAAGACTGGATTTATTAAACCCTCTCTAGCCAATTTAGACAATGTAGAGCATGTCTTTTTCAAATTCTTTGACTTAGCACTAAGTCCTTTGTGTAACTGCCTCATTTGTTTTAGCAGGCAGTTTAAGTTAGTATACCCACGAAAGCTTAGTGTTCTCATAATGATGGATTTCATTCACTATTAAAGTATGGACCAACTCTTTGTTGCATATTGTTCATTAAGTATTTTTAAAAGCAGGTATGAAGACCCACAAAGATCACATTGGTCTCCAACTGTATTATCTTAAAGTTACATGTTGGATTTCTGCAGATAAGGCTTTGCTTTAAGCGGAGAATAACTCTTCTACGCTTCACAGCTAATTTCTGCTTTCCTTATACTGGTCATGACTACTAAAACTTAATGAACCCAGCAGTTAACTATGGGGGTATGATTGGATTATGTTTTAATTTCCTCGGGTAACCTTTTATACTTATTTCATTTCCAAAAATTGCCCTTGTGGATGTATGATACTGAAGATATAAATTAATTTCAGCCATTGAGATTCTTCAAGATTACAACCAGGACATTTAGAGCGTAAAAAACATTCATCCATTGGTGCCCAGCCCAGGCTTCCCATTAGAGTCACCTAGGGACTGGATTCCACCTGCAGAAACTGATTTAATGGGTAAGGGCTGTGAAAGGACATTGAGATTTTTTCCAAGCTTCCCAGATGAGTCTAATGAGCAGCACAGTTTGAAAACCATTTATTTCACACACACCCCAAGTTTAAGCATGACACAACTGAAACCAAAAGAGGTTTTGACAGCAGATTGGACGTAAGAGTCCGAGTACCTCCTGATAATGGACATGCCATGACATGTTCTAAAGCTCAGACACTTTCTAACAACCATTGCCTAATCCATTTTTGCATTTTCTAAAAACACAGGTCACCCGGGGCTCTACCTGTGCCGTGTTTGGCCTGGGAGGAGTTGGCCTGTCTGTTATCATGGGCTGCAAAGCAGCAGGGGCAGCCAGGATCATTGGTGTGGACATCAACAAGGACAAATTTGCAAAGGCCAAAGAGGTGGGTGCCACTGAATGCATCAACCCTCAAGACTACAAGAAACCCATCCAGGAGGTGCTAAGGGAAATGAGTGACGGCGGTGTGGACTTTTCATTTGAAGTCATTGGTCGGCTTGACACCATGGTATGTACCATGACCTGCCTTGAGATTTCTCCTTCTGTCATGTGCAATATGCTTTTAGGTAACAGAATATAAATATTTCATATAAAGTATATGTTTTAAATAATGAATGACAGTTCTTCATCTCCTGTTTGCTACTGTTTCAAGAAATCTTTCACTCCATCTGCTAAGCAATACTGTTTCAAGTAGTATTTCCCTTTTAGAGAGGGAAAGGGGCTTGTTTTTTCGGTTTTGTTTTTGAGAGATTTTTGCTATAGGGCACGTGCGCTCGCCTGAAAGACAGTGACAGAGAGACAGAAAGCGAGAAATCACCCCCCCCCCCCAGGGAGGATGGCCACACAGCAATCCCTTCTCCTCCATTCTCCTCTTGGGATCTTGGGCACACACGCACACGCGCCTGGTGTGAGTTTAAGCCACCGGATCCATGACTCGAACCGTGGTCAACTACATGGGAGTCCAGTGACATAGCCCTTATGCTAACTGCTGGTGCCAGGGGGCTTGTTTCTTAAAAAATTGAGCCATTACAAATTTATTTTACTAATCTTTAGTAAAAAATTCAAACTGCTCTCAAAGTAGCAAGTTTTATTTTTCACCCACTTTCTTAACAAAACAGTGTGACAATGTTTTATACATTGTAATGAATTCTGATTGATTTCATTTTGACCAAAGGAATGAGCAATTTTAGGCCAGAAATTGTTTTATTAACAGAAAACAGGCTCTAGGTAACTGCTTTTAAATGCATTGCTGTGTTTTCACAGAGACAGCACAGTTACTAGCACAGAGTTACCACCCGATATCTTCATGTTGGACTGAGTACTCTGAGTCAGCACCATCTTACCAGCTCATAGTGGTGTTTCTGGATTACTTGAGATACTGCGCAACAAACACTTAGCACAGTATCAAGAGCAGAAGCTCTCGATAAATGATGCTATTGTTACGAAATACTATTTCCAATCTTGCAGTGTTTGTCTTTGGGATTTAGACTATACATGATACTTTCAAATAATTACATCATCAGTTGCCATGGGGAATACACTGTCTACTATATTTCACATAACCAGAATTCCCTAGATCTTTATTGGAAAAGTCTCCAGAGACTAAAGCAAATCCTCATCATCCAGGCTCACCAGTAAATTCCCTTAGTTGGTATTGGGAAACAGCACCCTGAAATGAAAGCACTCTGCAGCCTTGACCTGGGCCAATATGCCATAGGTAGATGAAGTTACAAGAGAATCCAACTTTTTTTAAGAGAGATTTCTACTACAGTGTTCATGTGCTTGCCAAAGAGACTGAGAGACAGAAAGCAAGAAATCACCCCCCAGGGGGATATGGACATGCCGCAATCCCCTCTCTTCCATTCTCTCTCCTCAGGATTCTGGGCACGCACATGCACCCAGCGTGAGTTTTAAGCCACCAGGTCTAGGATTCAAACTGTGGTCAACTATGTGGGAGTCCAGTGACATAACCATTACGTCATCTGCTGGTCCCAAGAATCCAATTTTTTTCAAGATTTTCTCCTTGTGTTCTTTTTCTATTGTTTACCTTTTGGGAGAATCCTAAGCCATTTTCTTACAGTGGAACATGTTCAAAACCCTGACTAGAAAGGGAAGACTTTCTGAATTTTTAAGTTTCCAGAATAGTAGGCATAATTTAAAGAAAACCTATTCTATATTATTGGAAGATTAAGAAAAGGAAAAAGAAAAACTTGCATCATGTCTGTTTTAGGTTCAACCATAATAGCATATGAGTAGCACCACCAGCTGGGAGGCTAACGACCACATGGGAGTCTAGTGTTTGGTTCCCAAGTCAATCTGAACATGTTGGGTGTGGTTGTGTGCACCTGTGGTCCTGACTGGTTGAGAGTCTGGGGCAGGAGGACCATAGCACTGCCAGACTCTCAGAGAATGCCTATCTCAGGGCCAGCAGGGGCATGGTGGTTAAGGGTGCTGGACTCCCACATGGCCGACCATGGTTCAAGTCCTAGACCCGGTAGCTTGCTTTCTCACTTTCTTTCTCTCTCTCTCTGTCCATCTCTGGTCAAATTAAAAATAAGTAAAGTTAAATAAAATAAGTCTTAAAAAGAAAAAGAATGCCTATCTCTGTCTCTCTTACTCTTTTTCATAAAAAAGAGGAGAAAACATGCATTTTAGAAATGGGTAGTAAAATGGGGTCCATAAAAAAAAGAGACCAGGCTGGCCTTGTGGCCCAGTGGTTAAGAGAGCAGATCCCGGGAACCAGCAGTTAGCGTAATGGCTATGTCGCTGGATTCCCACGTAGTCGACCGCAGTTCGTGTCCCGGACCCAGTGGCTTAAAACTCAAGCCGGGCGCGTGTGCGTGCGTGCCCAAGATCCCGAGAGGAGAATGGAGGAGAAGGGATTGCGGCGTGACCATCCCCCCTGGGGGGTGATTTCTCGCTTTCTGTCTCTATGTCTCTCTCTGTCTGTCTGGCGAGCGCACGCGCCCTACAGTGAAAATCTCTCAAAAAAAAAAAAATAGAAAGCAGATCCCGTATGACCAACCATGGTTCAAATCCTGGTCCTGGCAGCTTGAAAAACATGCCAGGCACATGTATATGCATGCCTAAAATCCCATTGAGATGGAGAAATGAAGGAGATGGGGTTATGACATGAATACACCCCATTGGAGGGTTCTCACACTTTCTCAGTTTTGCTCTTTCTTTGACAAGTACATATACCCTCCAGCAAATAAACAGGAAGGGGAGACCATCAAGTACACAAATTTTGGTAATGTAATTACCATATCTTGTTCACCATCAAAAGACCTGGTTCAAAGTACTGGGTTCAAAATACCTAGTTAATAAATGAGAAATAAATTAACCAACTCATAAATTATCTGAGAGTTATGATGATGAGATAGCACCTTATTTAAGGGATCATACTTAATATGTGTTTGTAATGACACCTGTCTCCTTATTACTTTACATGGAAGAATTATTTGGTACTCACAAACTCACTTATCCATTCTTTCACTTAAAAAATATTTTCTGGTCATTTTCTGAAGCCATAGAGCCACTGTAGGCACAAAGTGGCCAATGAAGAAGCCACAGACATAATCTCTTCCTTCATACCCTACCTCACTAAGTCATGATGACGTGATCCTGTGTGTCATGAGAAGGGCTATCAGAGAATCTATGCTAAGGATGCCAAGTATTGGTTTTATTCCAGATGGCTGCTCTGTTATGCTGTGAAAATTCATGTGGTGTAAGCGTCATTGTAGGGGTGCCTCCTGGTTCCCAAACCCTCTCAGTGGACCCTATGCTGTTATTGACCGGACGCACTTGGAAAGGCGCGATTTTTGGTGGTACGTATGTAATTGGGTTTGAGGGTCAAATTCTTATTAATCTCAGAATTTCTTCTTTTTCACAAGTGATAAGGTCAGGTTTTGATAAGCAACATCATCAAAAATAACTCAAAATTCCTATTATATCTTTAGGGTCCAAGTCAACTGGATATAAAACTAATGCAGATAGGAGGTCCAAAGATTGACTTTTCTGGTGTCCCCATTAACTAACTCAGACATCTCATCACCTTTTTATATTTGTGACTGTACAAGGCACCAGAATTCTTAGTAGAACACAGGATCTATAGCAATGGTCCATGCCCACACTCATTGCCCAAACCTAGACAACTACTAAATTGGCTCCTAGACTTCCAGTATAATCACCTCCACTATAATTTTTCTATAAGAAAGCTAACCACTAAGACTTTTACAGAGGGAATTTAAAAAGTAAAGTCAAAGCACTACGAAAGGATATTAAAGCATTCTGTCACTTGTTAGTTTCAGTAATAGTCTAGGATGCAGCACATTTTTTAAAAATTAACTTTCATTTTAATTTTATTTCTCTCTAATTTTCCTATTGATCACTGAATCTAACGTGATATCGTCTTCTTTTCTCAGGTTTTAAGAGTAAAGATTCTGTCCCCAAACTTGTAGCTGATTTCATGGCTAAGAAGTTTTCATTGGATCCATTAATAACCCATGTTTTGCCTTTTGAAAAAATTAATGAAGGATTTGACCTACTTCGCTCTGGAAAGAGGTAAATTTAAGTTCTTTTTCTAGTAGGTGGTTGGCTAACAGAATGATAAGGTGAAAAAATGAGAGAAACAGGAGTGCCTTGGTGCACCAAATTACCAGTTTGGACTTGGCATATGAAGCATCTACGGTCACACTGTGGGAGCTAAAAAGAGTTGCCTTATATTTCTTCTGCTGCTGAAGCCAAATTATGTTGGTTGTGGCAAATCTGAATGCTCAGAATCACTCGGCTCTCTTTACAAGAGAACATTCACCTTTGCCCAAAACAGAATTGAACAGAATTGAGTCACGCAACTGTATTTATAACATGGAGTCCCTGGAGTCTTTTCCTGGTCACCTAAGTAAGAGTGATATTTAATAGCTGTAAATTTAAATTATATTTATTGTAGTTTTATATTTACCAAAGACATTGATTATAGGAGTAGGTATAACTGCATTAGTTGTTTTCAATATTACTACTAATACAAATAGTACTAGTTTTTCATAAGAAAACACTGTTATTGTTATTTCTTTTTGAAGTTTACAAAGAAATTTTTTGGCAAAAGTTATTGTAAAGGAGAAGGGTAAAAAGTAATTTTTTGAGAGTTTTTATTTTTATTGATTTGTTTATTTTTGCTATAGGGCGTGTGTGCTCGCCAGAAAGATAGCGCGAGACAGAGGCAGAAAGCAAGAAATCACCCCCTAGGGAGGATGGTCACGCTGCAATCCCTTCTCCTCCATTCTCTTCTTGGGATCTTGGGCATGCATACGCACATGCCCAGCGTGAGTTTAAGCCACTGGATCCAGGACTCAAACCACGGTTGACTACACGGGAATCCAACAACATAGCTATTATGCCAACTGCTGGTCCCAAAAAATAATTTTTAAAAATATGTAAATCTTAGATTTTTTTCCAAAGCTTAGGAAATAAGCCAACAGTATCTTCTATGATAACTCTAACATTTAAAATTTACAACAATCTAATAAGATGAATTTTGTCACCTGCATTTATCGGGGAACAACACACACTAGGCCTAGCCCTGTCTAACCCCACCTCCTGGCCCCCAGCCCATGCTTTCTCTGCTGCCCCACACTTCTCTGCGGTTTTCAACTATATGCAGTCTTTCTTAGACACTCACATAACACATTATCCTAGATCGTTACTTGGCAGATGTGCTTGAGGAAAGATGGAAGCCAGCTCCTACACAACACTAACTACCCTATGCATCTTATCTGCTTTTCCTCGTGTGACTCCCATACCGTGCTGAAGCACCCATCCCAATTTCATCGTTTCAGACAGGAGAAAACTGAGACTCAGAGAGGACATGACTTAGCTAGAACCACACAGGTAGAAGGCAAGGGGGCCAGACCTCAAAGTTAGATCTTTTGTTAGCAAAGTTAATTGACTTTCCAATCTTTAAACAAATTTACCAAAGGGTATATGCACTCACTGTAGAGAGACATGCTACAGAAAGCACCCCTCCAAAGCAGATGGACATACTGTGATCCCTTTTCCTCATTTCTCTCTCTTTTTGAGATTTTGGCTACACACAAATGCCCAATGTGCTTCTTTCTCAAGCTACCAGTTCAGAACAGGAACTGTGCAATGGACCATGTGGGACTCAGCTGCCCTAACCAGGCCACAGGCTGGCCCTACTTTCTGTTAAGCCCAATACTGCCTCTCAAGTGTGCACATGCATGGGGGGTGGGCAGGCATGGATGTGTATTGCTGTTAGCCTATCAAATGTTGGTTATCATCATCATCATCATCATCATCATCATCATCATCATCAGGTTGAAAAGATGACGGAAAATATAGATGACCAAAACCAGGGGGCAGTGTTGAGCAGCAAAAATTTCATTACGCACACCTAAATTCACTTCAGGAAAATGCCATACACACACACACACACACACACACATTTAAATATCAATAAGCAACGATTTAAAATTCTAATACTCAATAGTGCTAAGGGTGAAGTGACATGGGCACTTTCATGTAGGTATATTCATCGTCAAATCCTTTTGGGAAAGCAATTTGGTAATTTGTATCTGAAACCTCAAAAAAAAACTTAGATCCCTTCTTTTACCAATTCCATTTCTAGAAATATATTCTACAAAAATAATCAAATATTTAAATATGCATATATGTAATGTTCACCTGTCATATATAATATAAAACATCTGAAACACTCTAAAAGTACAACATTAAGGTAGTAATCAAATCAGTTTCAACCATGTATTAGAAATCAGTGAATCCAAGGCCAGCAGATGGCATAACAGTAACATCGCTTGTCTCTCGCGTAGTCAACTGTGGTTCAAGTCCTAGACCTGGAGTCTGAAACTCACACCGGGCACATGTGTGTGCCCAAGATCTGGAGGAGAATGGAGGAAAAGAGATCGCAGCATGCTCACCTCTTCTGGGGAGTGATTTCTTGATTTCTCTCTCTCTCTCTCTCTCTCTCTCTCTCTCTCTGGCTAGTGCACACACCCTATAGCAAAAAAACTCTCTCAAAAAACTTGCTCCAGGTCAGACATCTAATATGGGATGTTGGGATTCAAACCCAAACACAATGTTGCACAAATTACAAAAAGATAACTTGCCTGAAGGAATTGATAATTTAATAAAGTTAAAATAATTTTGAAAGTTTGATAGAGCTTTGATATGGAGATGTTTAAGGGTTCTTGGAAGTAGATAATAAAATTGATTTATATTCATTCTAAAAGTCTTCAGATTGTGATGATTAAAAATTTAACATTTAGTTCCAGTGAACTAATGCCCTTTCTAAAATAACATGATGGATAAATTCTCTTGTAAAAAGATAGCCTCTGTGCTTCTTTAAAATTTTTAAATTTTATATATGTATGTATTAAGTCATTGGGAAACTTATGAGTATTTTTCTATGACATATATATATAATATATATATATATATTTATGTATAAAACAATAATATGTGTAGATAATTTAAAAAATACAGGACAGTATAAAGAAGAAAGCAAAAAAAGGTCTATAATCCCACAACTAAAGATAACCATTGTTTTCTTGAATTTTTATTATGTTTTTTCTAGATAATACATACATTTTTCAACTGTACCTTTTGAAAATTTGAGATTCTATCTTACATACAATTTGTATTCTTTGTTTCATGAGCCTAAAATTACATCATGAGAGTTTCCCAATGTAGTGAAATAACTTCTTTTTAAGGATTCATTGATTTTTTTTTTTTTTAGAATGAATATAAATCTTTCTGTAATTTGTGCAACTCTGTGTTTGGGTTTGAATCCCAAAATCCCATATTAGATGTCTGACCTGGAGCAAGTTACAAACCTCTCTGAGTCTCAGCTTTTACATTCTCTAACACAGATATAATAAGACAACTTGCCGGAGAGTATTGTTTAGGCTGAGGTTCAAATGAGATAATGCATGAAAAGCATCTATGAGTTACATGACAAATACAAAGAACTTATTGCTTATATCATTGCCCATTGTTACTTTATATTCCTTATTATGTCAGGTACCTAGGCGCTCAAAAACTATTTCTTAAGGATGCTAGTTGAGAACTGAAGTCTAAATGACAGCCATACTCAGGGCATTATGAGTGCGTTTAACATTGGAGAAAACCAGAAAACGATGAATGTTCTTGACTTAACCTGAATGCGAAGGGATGCGAATAGAGTGCCTGGAAACCCAGGCAGATTGTCACCGAGACACTTCAAATGCTCCTTGGACTGTCACATGGCAGAGCACGAATGGTGTAAATGTTAAGACAGTGTCTTTTCTCTCCTATTGCAGCATCCGTACCGTCCTGACATTTTGAGACCATACAGATACCTTCCCTTGTAGCAGTTTTCAACCTCCTCCCCCCTATGTCATCTGGACCACCAGCGAGACAACACCAGTAATTCTGTTCTTCCAAGATTCTGTCAATCAATTATATGTGGAAACTTTCCAAGAAAGAGAAACTGATGTGAAATTATTTTTCATGCAAATGTTAAAATCCAAGACAGAGCTAGATAAAGAGTTGAACGTCAGCTGGGAATCAAAGCTAGTAACTTTCATTCTGAATCATTTTACTTTTGTTGTCTTTCCCATTGAGTAAAGATATTTCTTGTGACTTCTTGCGTTTTTTATCTTTGTACCCCTCCATCACTGAAACCCAGCATACATCTGGCAGGCTAGTACACTTGAAGTCTTCTACCTGCATCTCTGTTTCTACTATCTGTATTTTTCTATTTATGAAATGTATTAAAGCCCCAGCATGAAAACCATAATATGGTAAAGGATAGATTCAGATTTATAAGTAGAGATCTAAACTTTTAACATCCAGAGACTTTCTTAGTAACTCAAAGGAAATATGCATTTTTATACAGTGAAGGAAAGTCTTTTCATGGCTTTCATACCACTTAACAGTGAGTATGTAATTATTCTTTTAAATAAGAGCAGGTATCATACTTCATGTGATAAATGTGAGGCTCAGGTACTAAATGTGAAACTTAACTGCCCCTGGAACCATCTTGAAAGACTGTAATTTTTACTCAATAAAAGTGCTTTATTGGCTAAACAGTCTTAGTAAATATTACAACTGACTGAAAATAAAGTATAAGGTAATTAAAAATAAGTTAATGGCTTGAAATGTAGGAATGGGATGGAAGCACTGTGAATGCAGCATGTAAAGTGGGTAACTAAAAAATGACATGAATAAAACAATATATTTTCTAAGTAGATATATTAAAATGTACACTTTTTGCAAAAATTATTTTAGATCTAGGAGTTTTAACTGCCATTCTTAAGTCTATGATCTTGGAATTAGTTTAAAGTTTTTAATATGTAAAAGCCTACTATAGTACCTGTTTGTTAATGCTTTCCCACTATCAGAGGAAAGTTTGCATTTTGAGATTTCTCTCTAAATGTGTGATGAAGAGTTCATTCCTATTTAAAGGAGTTCTAACTTTCACCAAAAGTGTTATTTATTGCCATATCTATCATCTGTTTGATATTGTTTGATACTAAACTTAGAGTAAAACGATCTACCACTTACTATGTGACCTTCTGTAAGTCACTCAGCCTCTCTGAGCCTGTTCATTCTTTGTAAAAAAAAAAAAAAAAAATTACTCTACCAACTCTTACACCACTATGAAGATTAAATGAAATGATGCTAGTGAAAGAGCATTGCCTACAAGGGAAAATTTAATTACTTGTCTAAGATACTGAAGGAGATACTCAGGGTCAAGGCATTCCTCAGAATGTTCTAAAGATAAAGTCATGGGACACAACTTGTTGCTGGGTGTTCTGAGATTTCTACATTGGTACTGACAATGTGAGATCCAGAGAAAAGAGAGATGCTTCTAATGCTCACCTCTCAACAGTGGCCATAAAATCCCACTGGCAGCACAGAGGCCTGCATCCAGCTCCCACCCTCCCTCCTAGCAGAATGGATGGAGGGGCTGGAGGTGGGCAGTGTCAGTGTTCTCATAGAGCAGCATAGTCTGTCGTGGGGAGGCGTGGGGAGACCTCTGTGCCAGCACTGGTTCTCCAGTTACCTTCGCATTGGTAGAGTAGGTGGTGGGTTGAGTGAGAGGAAAGGAATCAAGAGGAAAAAGAAAGAAGCAAAACATTTAAGGGACACAAAAATAGAAAATTATCTGTTAATGATAAAGTGTATGGCAATATCTTTACCTGGACTAATAAGCAATGCACTCATGCTGGGAAAATTCATTTTGCATGCTGTAGTGATAAACAGTGATTGACTATATAAGAAATTTAAATAATAATAATAAGGGGAAAATTACATAAAAAAAAAAGAAAGTACAAAAGTGAAACCACAGAGTCACTGGTGTGGCACCAGGCCTGGAGATGTACACATGGTCAAGGTGTCCTGGTGACTTCCAGCAAATTTTGACTCTGGAGTCAACCAAGAACATGCTTATTTCCTGGTCTCTACACTTATTTTTAGCCAGCAGCAGAAGGCTTCATCAAAATGAACATTTTTGAAGTTCAAAAAGAAAAAAATTTATGTTGCTGGTTTAACTAGTAATTCTCACACTCTGACACAGCACTTCCAAAAATAGTACTCAAATGAAAAGGACTAAATAGCTGAACTCTGAATTAACTCTCTGCTATTTTAAAAATCACACAAATTGTTCAAAGACTAGAAAGGAAGTCACCCTGCAGAATATTATAAAATTACTCAGAAGTGAGAACCCGTTAAGTGGTGCAGTAGTAAAACACGGGACACTCTGCAAGGGTACCCCACATGAGGAAGTTCCAGGTTCATATCCAGAGACCGCTCTGAGTACACCAGCCCACGATCAGGGCCGGTTGGAGCTGGGGAGTGGATCATGGCATCAAGACCTTGTTGGAGGTGCTGTCTGTCTCTCCCACACTCATCCATGAAATAAATAAACTTTAAATAATTATAAAGAGAATAAAAAGAAAATTTCTCCAAAGTCAAGGCTGAGTGAGAGCAAGTCTATACATAATAATTACATATACTTGGACTCCTAACTATTCAATCTGAAAGCAAATGATTATTTATATAACCCCTATTAGGTGTTTCCTGAAAAATGTTAAAGTAACGATTTTATTAAAGCATGTTAAATTCTAAGTGTTCATCAAATACCTAACAATATTCATGAAGTGGGCCATTGCATAAGGAGAGACATGAAAATCAGAGGATGGAGCAACCCCTTTCAGGGACTAGGACAACTGAAGATTTTCTGCCCACATTTCACCCTCCTGTTCCCAAGATGTAGCCAGTACAGGCCAGTCACAAGCCATCTACACCTGAGCTCTGAGTGGCCCCTTTCAGGGACTAGGACAACTGAAGATTTTCTGCCCAGACTTCACCCCCCTGACCCCAAGATCTAGTCAAGAGTCAGAGTAATCCTCAATTCACACAGGATCTTCTGCCAAAGGGAGAAAAATGGAAATGAAGAGAGATTGCAGAACACCTCCTCCTGCATACCTCTGAACACTCAGATTTAACTACAAAATACAGGGAAAAAGTATAATCCATCAGATGACCTGAAACCCCTGCAGAAGCACAAGAAACATGAGAAGCCAAGAAAATATCTCTCCCCCAAGGGAAAAGAATAACTCCTTATCCTCCACAGATAGTACAATGGAACTTATGGAAATGTCAGATAAAGAATTCAGAGGGACTAGCAGTTAGCGTAATGGCTATGTCGCTGAACTCCCATGTAGTCGACCACGGTTCAAGTCCTGGACCCGGTGGCTTAAACTCACGCCGGGGCGCGTGTGCATGCGTGCCCAAGATCCTGAGAGGAGAATGGAGGAGAAGAGATTGCGGCGTGGCCATCTCCCCTGGGGGGATGATTTCTCACTTTCTATCTCTCTGTTTCTCTCTGTCTTCCTGGCAAGTGCATGTGCTATATAGCAAAAACCTCACACACACACACACACACAAAAAAAACTAAAAAAAAAAAAATTTAGAATATTCATAGTGACAAAGCTAACAGAGATGCAAAAGAAGAGAGACAACAAACTCCAGAAAATTCAGGAGAAAAGAGATGAGTTTCAGGAGGTGAGTAAGTTCTTGAACAATCTGAAGGAAGAAATACACACCATAAAAAGGAATCAAATGAAACTGTTAGAGATAAAAGCTATAATACAGGAAATCAAAACCTCCCTTGAAAGTATTAAAAGCAGGTTAGATCATGCAGAAGATTGAATCTCAGATGCAGAAGACAGAACCTCTGACCTAGAAAAATTCAGCAAAAAGACTAAGAAAATAACCAAAAAAAAAAAAAATGAGAATAATATATGAGTAATAGATATCATTAAACACCCAAACATCTGGATAATCAGTATTCCAGAGGGTAAAGAAATGAATAAGGGCATTGATAATCTATTCCACGATATCCTGGAAGAAAACTTTCCAAACGTAGAGAAGCATTCTGTAGGCGTCTGCAGCAAGCTTAACTCAACCGAAGAGGAAACAAAAGGAAAGAGACACAGAGACAGAGTAGCAGTGGACACAGACAGCCTAAGCCTGCTGGGCCTGTGCTGCCCAGACAAGCTGAGAGTCTTTCTTCATAATGCAAAGCAACACTGCATACGTGTATTTCATGACATTCTACAGATATAGTTGATATTTTACAGAGACATAAAGCAGTATTGGTCTTCTCATCCTTGAAGGTTTAGGTATGCGGGTGCCATGTGTATCTCGTGGTTACAGTAAAAGCAAAGAAATTTCCTGTAATTACTTATCTAGTGAAGTGAAGTCTATCTGTAGATGTGGGAAGCACATCCTTTTGCATACGTCTGAGGGGTGATGATTAAGTTATAGAGACTACATGAAGCAGAGCAGGGGTTAGTCTTTATGTAGTAGGGTCAGAATGTTGCCCAAGCTCTGAAGGTGTCCCCCCAGGGCAGACCCTGTAAATTCCACTGATGCTCTGCCTGCAGGAAGGGACAAGGAAAGAACCAGCAACAAGGCTTCTGCTATCTCCCTAAGGAGGCATGTGACATCTGCTCAGGGCATGTCCCCACATCCACAAAGCTTTACTCAAAATTTTTCCCTA